ATCTTTTGCTTTCATAGAGAGTGATTTTCGTTCGCAAATTTGGTACTAATCCTTCTTGGATTTTCCAAGTATATATAATTATACATCTCTCCAGCCTGCGTTCTAGGGAGTACAGGTTGAGGAACTTCTAGCGCTCCTAGTAATTGAGGCGTTGTATCGCAGCTGTGTGCCATGAAAGTTATCTGTACATTTTCTAGGTCAGCAATTTCACCTGCCTTGAAAGGTGGTGTTAGTGTGCAGCAATATTCCAGCCTAGATAGAACAAGTGACCTGAAGAGTGTCATCATGGGCTAGTGAACAGATATTGGTTCCTTGACTTGACCTTAGGTGAAGGTCCCACACAGTCTATGATCAGGTCTGAGAATGGCTCTCCATTATCGGGTCTAGGACACAGTGATGCAGGTTTGATGTGTCTGGGTTTCCCCACTTGTTGACACTGCAGGATCTGATGTAACTCCAGACATCTCATTGGGATACCCTATTATTACAATCAAAACTAAGTGCTAAACCCACAAGGATCACAGAGCACTGCTATGATATTCTATAAAATGTTCTAGTGACGCCCTATTACCCTCCTAAGGATGAGTCATGAGTGATCCTCAAAACTTGGTCTAAATTTTTTTGGTATCACAAGCCTGTCAAATTCGGACACCCCCCTTACCTCCTTATCAGTATGTTAGCTAAATAATATATTACTTTTGAGTACATATTTAGTGGGTGTACAGAGTTGACTAGTTGTAGCTGACTGAAATGCCGAGAGAAGAGAAAAGTCCCTTAGCTGCTCTTCCCTGAAGGTCAGTCTATTTTGGGCATGGAGACAGGAGCATCTGGCAGTCCTGCTACCCAGGAATAGGAAGGCTTGATAAGGGGCATTTCACTTGATTTATGAAGCTCTGGCCACATGCCATTATAAAACAATTTGTCCAGCCCAAGATCCAAGTCCCTCAAGGTAAGTCAGCATTCTCATCAGACTTTCCCTTGGACATTGCCGGTAGTTTACCTGGACTTACCTGGAGAGGGTTTCGGGGGTCAACGCCCCCGCGGCTTGGTCTGTGACCAGGCCTCATGGTGGATCAGAGTCTGATCAACCAGGCTGTTACTACTGGTTGCACGCAAGCTGACGTACGAACCACAGCCCGGTTGGTCAGGTACTGACTTTAGGTGCCTGTCCAGTGCCTTCTTAAAGACAGCCAGGGGTCTATTGGTCATCCGTTTTATGTAGGCTGGGAGGCAGTTGAACAGTCTTGAACCCTGGACACTTATTGTGTTGTCTCTCAAAGTACTCGTGGCACCCCTGCTTTTCATTGCGGAAATGTTGCATCTCCTGCCGAGTCTTTTGCTTTCATAGGTAGTGATTTTCGTGTGCAAGTTTGGTACCAATTCCTCCAGGACCTTCCAAGTTTATATCATCATGTATCTCTCTCGCCAGCATTCCAGGGAATACAGATCAAGGACCTTCAACTGTTCCCAGTAATTTAGGTGCCTTATCGTGCTTATATGTGCAGTGAAAGTTCTTTGTACACTCTCCAGGTCTGCAATGTCGCCAGCCTTGAAGGGGGCAGTTAGTGTACAGCAGTATTCCAGCCTAGAGAGCACAAGCGATTTAAAATGAATCATCATGGGCTTGGCGTCCCTAGTTTTGAAGGTTCTCATTATCCAACCTACTATTTTCCTGCCAGGTGAGGCCGATACATTGTTGTGGTCTTTGAAGGCGAGGTCCTCTGACATTATCACTCCCAGGTCCTTCACATTACTTTTCCACTCTGTTGTATGGTTAGAATTTGTCATATACCCTGATACATTTATAATTTCCTTAAGTTTCCCATATCTGAGTAGTTGAAATTTCTCCTCGTTGAACTTCATATTGCTTTGAGTGGCCCATTCGAAGATTCGGTTGATGTCCACTTGGTTGATGACACTCTTCAGGTCACTTTTTCTATCTAGGCTGGAATAATGCTGCACACTAACAGCACCTTTCAAGGCAGGTGAAATTGCTGACCTAGAAAATGTACAGAGAACCTTCACGGCACGCATAACGGAGATAAAAACAACCTGTACTTCCTGGAATGCAGGCGGGAGAGATACATGATTATATACACCTGGAAAATCCTAGAGGGACTAGTACCGAATTTGCACACGAAAATCACAACGAAAGCAAAAGACTCAGCAGACGATGCAACATCCCCCCAATGAAAAGCAGGGGTGTCACTAGTACATCAAGAGACAATACAATAAGTGTCAGGGGCCCGAGACTGTTCAACTGCCTCCCAGCATACGTAAGGGGGATTACCAATAGGCCCCTGGCTGTCTTCAAGCAGGCACTAGACAACCACCTAAAGTCAGTACCTGACCAGCCGGGCTGTGGCTCGTACGTTGGATTGTGTGTAGCCAGCAGTAACAGCCTGGTTGATCAGGCTCTGATCCACCATGAGACCTGGTCACAGACTGGGCTGCAAGGGCGTTGACCCCCTGAACTCTCTCCTGGTAAACTCAAGGAGTCTCACATTGACTTCGATGGAAGTCACTGCCATGGTAATCCGGGTGTCATCCACAAAGGAAGACCCGGAGCTATGTTATTGCCCAGCAACAGAAAAGCATCCTTCATGGGAAAGCCCCAGACACACCTACAGTTAAATAACCAGTGTAATACTGGCTCCTAATAAATTATATGTAGAGGAACTGAAAAAACAGCTCCCCTATAAGTTTCTAACAAGACTGAGGATTTTATTGAAGTCTTATTCGAAATTGGGAGTATTCCCAAGAGGGAACAATAAGCCCCTGTATCCCTAAAACTGATGACATCAATGTGACAGTCCTGCTCATTAAGGGATATTTGACTGGCACTAAAGGAAAGTGCCAAACCGGCATCTGCTTCATTCTGATTAGTTGTGATGTTCGTATATTAATGTTTCTCACTGGTTGTGGTACTGACAGAACTCTTTAATTTATATTATCATTATTATAATCATGGGGAGCACTAAACCCATGGAGATTATACAGTGCATGTGGGGGGGGGAAATGGAAGGCATTTACATTTAATTCAGGGAACTAGAGCACAGATCCAATTCCCTAGATCAAGAGCCCCTCACCAGCATCAAGGAGCCTTCCCTGAGGAGTCTTTAATTTATGGCAGGTGGTCTTGACATGGCCAGGCTTGTGGCAATAGTGACAGGTTACGGGCTTGGGAATCTTGCCTTGTGCACATTGTTGGTCTTGAGGCGAGTGTCATATCTCGCCTCCAGCTTCTGTCCTTGACTAAACACAGGTTTTTTTCCCAATGATCTCTGTCCATACTAAGCTGATACCTCAGAGGTATCAGCCAGCTTAGCTGCCTCCATAGCAGCAGCTAACAAATGATCTTACAGACCTGACCAACTCACTCAAGGCAATTACTGACCATGATTAACTGCACCAATTTGCTAGTTAGAAATCCAGCTGCTCGATACCACTCAGTGATCTTGGTCTAGAGCCCAACAAAGTCAACACAAAACTGGCTGGACTGACACATGCTCTACTTACTCTCTCTATGACATTCAGCATATATCTACATGCTCGTAGCACAGCCACTTTCACAATGCTGTAATCAGAGAAGTTTTCATCACTTAAACCAGCTGTGAATTCCTGTGTTTTACCATACAACACTGTATGAACCCATGCTGGCCAATGGTCAGCTGACCACTGCACAGCTCAAACCTGATTTTTCAGAACTCGAAAAACTGTTGATTATAAAAAAGAAAGCGCTAAACCGACAAAGGTCATGTCAAAAAACTGTTCAGGCTATGAATCGGAGAAACGAGGTACCAGACACAAACTTCTGCACACACATATTATCACCACCAGTATGCCAAAATTGTCTCCTCTCCCTCTTTCTATCACATTCCTCCTTTGCAAAGGCACACTGTTCCCTAGTATTTTTTGAAGAGAAATTTTTGCTAGGTCAAGAGCCAATGAAGCTGACTGATCCTGAGATAAACATGGTTCACCATCCATTTCTACAGGTGGGAAGTTGTCATGCAGACATTCAGGAGTATGACCTGTACCATTACTTGAAGCAAGAAATCAAAGCAGGGAGGGGCAATTAACACAAGCTCCGATAGTAGCTGAAGCACCCGGTTGGAATGTCATACAATACAATTTGGATCTTAATTTGTTGCATGTACACTCACAAAGAGCTGTACAGCAGTAAGAGTACGTTAATACTCTAACACCAATTGAACAAGCAATTTGCCAGCAGCACTGTAGAAATAGTCTGGGTAAGTTTTGCAAAGTATATGTCATCACCAAACCCCTAACACAAGCAGGTGGCATAACCAGCCTGCACTAATACAAAGCACTACCCTATAACAATACACTCAAAACACAGACAGCTGTAACCAGTAGTAAGCAACAATATAAGCAGGCCTGCAATGCAAATACAATGCAGAGGACACAATGGTTTCAGGGCAGGCACCCCATATTATGAACACAGGTGGTAGTCTGATGGCCTGTTACACCTGGCCGTTACTCAGTCAGAAAACAACTTAGCAGGGCAAAGCAAACAAGCATTTAGATTTCTTTACCCATGTATTCCTTCACCAATATATACACTATGTACAATGTAATGAGAGTAAAAGAGACTGGAAGTAGTACATATGAAAGCCACTCAAGCAACAGTCAACACGACCAGAGAAAGTAGAAGTCTGCTTTCTCAGTCAGGTGTGTTGAAAATATCGCCTTGGCTGAATTTATGGGCTTTCATGTTAATGGCTATTTAATTACCAATAAGCACAGCAGTTGGAACCCGACCTGCTACACTCTGAATTGCTAGTTCGCTGGTCGAGAGGGCATACCAAATGGTCGTATGAAGAACATCAAATAAAATGTAACATGCTCAGTGCACGCCAGTGATCCCTTCACAAATATCACCTTCCTCACACACCTATAGCACATTACATCCTAAAATTCACATGCCTCAAACTATTAGAAATACACTAAATGGGTAATAATAAAATGAATAATGATCACCTTAAATAATAAATTTTATTATCACACATGAATCAATTTACACAGGTACTGTACTGTCAACATGGGCAGCATCTTGCAGTGAATAGCAACAGTAGTAGAGACATTGTATTTCATGTATAATCATCAATTCTACATTTAAAATCACAAATGATCTTGCAAAGAAAATATTACTGTTTGCTAAATAATAATACACATACCACATTAAATCATTAACCCTTAACCCTTAAACTGTCCAAGCAGATCTACGTTCACATGCATAGTGCTCCAAAAGTAGATCTACTTTTTTTTACATATTTTCAAATACAGTGGACCCCCGGTTTACGATATTATTTCATTCCAGAAGTATGTTCAGGTGCCAGTACTGAACGAATTTGTTCCCATAAGGAATATTGTGATTAGATTAGTCCATTTCAGAACCCCAAACATACACGTACAAATGCACTTACATAATTGGTCGCATTGGGAGGTGATCGTAAAGTGGGGGTCCACTGTACGTATAACAAAAAAAAAAAAAGTAGATCAAAGTTTTTTACACATTTTCAAATGTAAAAAAAAAAAAAATCTACTTTTTTTACGTACTTTCAAATGTTGAAAAAACGTATATATACGTTTGGACTGTTTACGGGTTAAACTGTCCAAATGTAGATCTATGTTCACTGGCGTAGTGCTCCGAACATAGATCTACATTTTTTCTTACATTTGATTGCATGTAAAATTAAATGTAGATCTACGTTTGGAGCACTATGTGAGTGAACTAAGATCTACGTTTGGACAGTTTAAGTGTTAAGCTGCCATGACCTCTAGAATAGTTAACCCTGAAGGTTAACAGTCTTGACTTAATAGTCTAGGTAACACAGAAGCTTTGTCAATAACTTTACATTGCAGTACATCAAGTTGTGGGTAAATTGCTTGTTGTGAATTGTAGTCATGGTACTATAATGTGATTTATTCTTCTGGTGAACTGTAAGCTTAAAATGTCTCAAAAATCAAAAGACAAAACTGTAAACAGGAGAGTAATGTACAATAATTGTAAAAACTTGTGAAGTAAAGTTTGCTCTTCAGGATGCCATGTGAGGACACCAGTGTGGTCTTGGCCATCAGTCAATCAGGTACAACCTCTCAGGTACTCACTCAATGGACAAAATGAGCTACACAAACACTTAATACCCCCTGCTGCTACCATAAGAATATGGAAATATCAAGATATGTCCCAATATTTTAAGTGTCATCTAAAATATTTTTTTGGCCAAATTACCAGACAATTAATGAAGTATTTGAAGTTAACCTCTCATGAGGGCCATGGTCCAGTTGTCATAAAAGATAAAAATTTTGGACCATCATACATGGTTGTGGTACAATGGACTAAGCCTTAACCTGTAAACGGTCCAAGCAGATCTACGTTCACATGTGTAGTGCTACAAAAGTAGATCTAAGATTTTTTTTTTTACATATTTTCAAATATAAAAAAAAAAAAAAAAAGTTGATCAAAGCTTTTTACACATTTTCAAATGTAGAAAAACAAAAAATCTACTTTTTTTACATACTTTTAAATGTTGAAAAAAACGTATATATACGTTTGGACCGTTTATGGGTTAAATACCTTCTGTCCAAGTGCCACTTCTTCCTTTTTTTTTTTTTTTTTTTTTTTGTAGAGGGAAGGCCTTCATTAATTAACAATGCTTAGTAGGAGGAAGTTCTGGTATATGACTGATGCATTAAGACACCTTAGATCCTATATAAGAATTTGACATGCATTCAAGTTATCATTATTATAGTCAAGTTAAGCACTAAACCTGAAAGGGTCAAAGTCCTGCTGGAGGAGAGATGCAAAAAAATAACATTCATCTGAAACAGAATAGGCAACAGATAGCAAGACATAAGGTCACTAATTTCAAGCATTTATCCAAATCATAAATGAAGTCTGAGATGAATAAATAAGTAGAGTCCTTGCCAACGAGTGAAGGTTTAGAAGAAACACTTTCAGATGCTGCCATGAATGACCCATCACCACCAGGCCCGAGTGTAATTATTTCAAAATACAAGGAAGGGAAATGTGGCCCACTGTCTTGTTACAGGACTGTAAGTGCTCAAAGAACATTAATCTTACTGTTGTCCATTCACTAAAAGACTGAACAACAGTGCAAATACAGAGAGAATAACAAAACATTATGGCAGACAACAGTGCCACAAGTTTCTGCCACCTGTGGCAGTAGACATTTTTCTTTTTTCCTAGAACTTTTCTCTAATTACAAAATAAAAGCCTAAAAGAAATGAATAATTTGAAATGCCACATACACAAATATTTGCATAAGACAGATTTTCATGGAAGGCATCTGTGTGGGTATTGAGGAAACACTGTACTGCATGTAAAATCTCTGTCATAGACAAGTTTAATAAACAGACTGTAATATTCAGAGTTGATAATAAAAATTTAGCACTATACAGTAAATTCTATACATCCCGGCACTCTTGGGACTAAAGCCACATTTTTTTTTTTTACTAACACATCACACTGGCTGTTTCCCACTGAGGCAGAGTGACCCGAAAAAGAAGTGTCTAGATAAAATCTTCAAGCTGGGTTTTGAGAAACGTGTATCTGCATAATTCTCAAGAAATTATAAAACATTTAACAATTTCACCACGAAGGCAAGGTAACCAAAAACAAGGCAACATTTACCATCACTAGTTCACTAGCTGTCTTTCCACAAGTGCACATACACACAGCTGAAATGACCCTCTCAACTGCAATATTTTTTCCATTCTTCATGAAGGATAAAAATGGTTAGGTATCGCCTCTCAAAGATCATCCAATTTGGGTTAATCTTTCAATTCGAGGGATTTCCTAAAAAACTAATCTTTGAGGTGTCAGTCTGTAAAGTGTTTAGTTTCTACTGTAACAAATGTCATTACAAAATTTGACAGAGAAGGAATGGTCCCTGTGGACAGCTCGAAGGAAAAAATGTGGTTACAAAAAGCTTTTCTTCTATCTTAATGTTAAGATGTATCTATGCTAATGTATCTGCATGCCACCATCCACTACAATAATTATTCTCAAGGATTTTTACAAAACCCTAAAATTATTTGTCTATAAAATTAATAATGCAAAAAACGAATCTTGTCACTCTGCCTAAACCACCAGATAAAAACCTTCCTTTTGTTGTATATAAAGATCACCAGTTTTGTACCATTCAATTATAATTTTTTTTTTTTTTACTTCATCAGCCATCTCCCACTAAGCAGAATGACCTAAAAAATAAACATTCACCACCATTCATTCAATAGTTTTCTTGCTAAAAGTGCGCAGCCATCAAGTGTGTGCATCATAATTCAAATGACCTGTTGAACTGCATCATGACCCCTTACTCAGAGTGCAGGCACCGTGCTTCCCACTTGCAAGACTAAGTCTGCCTGACCAGTTTTTCTGAATCCCTTTATAAATGTTACCTTGTTCACACTCCAACAGCACGTCAAATCCCTTAAGCACTTGTCTTCACTAGCCCTGATCTAACATGCTCTCACACACATCATCTGGATGCTCAAGCCCTTACCATATAAAACCTTCACACCTTTCTGAGACAACCCCTACCCATTCTACCTTCCACCATGGATTAAATACCCTCCTGATCATCCTATCATGTTCCATCTTCTCTTAAATATCCAAACCACCTTAACACTCTTACCTTCGTCCTCTGAATATTTTTCATAACACCACACAGTCTTCTAACTGCTACACTCCAAATTCACTGTTTAATACAGTATTCACACCACACATTGCTCTTAATTAAGCACCACCGTCACTTACACCACTCTGTTCATACCTGCTCCTATGATTTACAAAATACACCAGCTGTACCACTGTCTACCCACTCCTGTGATTCACAACATACACCAATTGTACCACTGTCTACCTGCTCCTGTGAGTTACAACATACACCAACTGCACCATTGTTTACCTGCTCCTGTGATTTAAAACATACACCAACTGTACCACTGTCTACTGCTCCTGTGATTTACAACATACACCAACTATACCACTCAGTCTATACAAAGGAGAAAAAATCCCAACAGCATGAATTTGCATTAATATGAAAACATTTTAAGATACAAGAGTGCAATATTAAACATTATATAGCTAAACTTTACCAAAACACAAACACTGCCTAACTCTCGAGACTATTTTGAATCAAACTGACTAATAGCCAACAATCGTCAAAATGGCTGTTCTTGACAAACCATACCATGGGCGGGATTTGAACCCACGGTCAGAGAGTCTCAAAACTCCAGACCGTCACGTTAGCCACTGGGCCAGCTAGCTTCAATAAGATTCGTCCAACTAGGTGTATTTCTACACCATAGGAAGGTTAGCATAGGCACCACTGTGTCCACCCGCTAGCATGGCCGTGACGAACTCTAGCTCAAGTCCCCTCAAAGCCGTCAACATGACTAACGAAATCGTAATGACACAATTGCAAACAAACCATACCACGGGTGGGATTTGAACCTGCGGTCAGAGAGTCTCAAAACTCCAGACTGTCGCATTAGCCACTGGGCCAGCTAGCTTCAATAAAATTCGTCCGACTAGGTGTATTTCTACACTATAGGAAAGTTAGCATAGGCACCACTGTGTTCACAAATGCAAGTTTTTACAGACGAATCTCCTGGCCATGCTAGCGGGAGATTCGTCTGTAAAAACTTGCATTTGTGGACACAGTGGTGCCTATGCTAACCCTCCTATGATGTAGAAATACACCTAGTTGGACGAATCTTATTGAAGCTAGCTGGCCCAGTGGCTAACGTGACGGTCTGGAGTTTTGAGACTCTGACCGCGGGTTCAAATCCCGCCCGTGGTATGGTTTGTTTGCAATCGTGTCATTACGATTTCGTGAGTCACTGTTCTTGAATTCACAAGAAAATGTCCAACACAAAGAGGTCCTGGGAAATGAGAGGTAATCAGGCATGATCCAAGAAAAAGAGAGGGTTAACTCAAATTCCTTAGATCAAGAACCCTTGAATATGCAAGCTCATGAAGTTGAAGCACATTCATTACAGCTTTTAGAAGATTTGGAAAGTGGCTGCCTTACAGAGCCAAGGTAAGTACATTCAAGTCCCTGAGTTTTCAGTGTGAATGTGAGATAAACTCTTATGTATTTTCAAAAACTAGCTTGCCCCAGACCCTTAAGAAATGTAATGTATGTTGTAGAGTTGTGATGCTACACTCCAGCTGTGCTGAGCCTAATCGTGTGTTCCATGTTAACTGGAACGAAACTGATATTTTATAAGTAACAAAACCTTTAAGAAACACTGTACTCCTCCAAATGTGATCTGTATCCAGTCCCCTTAAATATTAGGCATAAAAACTCCAAACAAAACGAGAACTCAGACTAAAGATGATAATTTTATCCTAAGGTAAACTGTTGAGTGACTTGACCCGGACCGTAGGTGCAAACAATCTCGGACTGGTTAACGTGGTCGGTGGTGAATGTGGCCATGTTGTTTGTAAAGTCTACATCATAACTTCCTTCCATTGAGCCTTCCATTGGCTTGTCTCCTTTGGTAGACTGTGGGAAAAGAAAAGAAAAATAATCAGAATCAATGGTAACTGAGGCAACAAGCCAAAAAGGTGATAAATTAGACACATGTGCAACACTTGGGCATCTTTATTATGGGAACGTTTTGCCACAGTGGCTTCATCAGTTCAATACAAAGAAGAATAGTGAAGATCAGAAGTTTGAGGTAATCAGTCAAGATCAATGAACTGATTACATCAACTCCAGGCTGAAGGACTGATTACCTCATACTCCTCCTGATCTTTACTATTCTTCTTTATATTGGACTGATGAAGCCACTGTGTGGCAAAACGTTCCCACAATAAAGATACCCAAGTGTTGCACATGTGTCTCATTTATCAACTAGCTGCTGCTTAAAACTATTCATCTATAAGCCAAAAAGCATTTACAGTATAAGCACATGTAATGCAAATCAACCATCTATTTTAACCCTTGCTCTGTTGAGACCTCTGAAATTAAGCCTTTTAGGGTCAGAGCCCCTAATCTGAAACTTGCTCTCAGGGTCAGAGAATAATAATAATAATAATAATAATAATAATAATAATAATAATAATAATAATAAAAATTACTTTTTCTTATGCAATGATAGAGAATCTTTTTCCCAAGGTAATGAAACCAAAAGTACAAAATTTGATGGAAAACTTATGGAATTACACTTGCAAAATTAGCAGTCTCTGTGATATTTGTGCATCAGCATTTTCACCCACTTGGAGCCCAATTCTCAGCCGATTCCATTGTTCCAGCCAACCAAACTCAACTATTTTGCTGTTATATATTCCTTCTATTAAATGACTGGGTACAAGAAACTGCCCATTTACCTATTTCAACTACCCAATAAAGGAATCAGAAATTGGTAATTTGGTTAATTTCACACAAAATTAAAAAAGTGCCAATTTAAAAATAGGGTCCAGAATAAACAATGTAGACATTCCTGGCACTTAGAAAATATTTCCCCTATTCATCAGTTATGTCCCTCAGCCTCTCCATTTTGAATTTTTATTCACACAAAAAAATAGAAGATTTACTGTTATGCAGACTACTGCATTTTTGTAATACAGTGGACCCCCGCTTAACGATCACCTCCAAATGCGACCAATTATGTAAGTGTATTTATGTAAGTGCGTTTGTACGTGTATGTTTGGGGGTCTGAAATGGACTAATCTACTTCACAATATTCCTTATGGGAAAAAATTCAGTCAGTACTGGCACCTGAACATACTACTGGAATGAAAAAAGTTCGTTAACCGGGGGTCCACTGTAATTGTATAAATAATATCAGTGTATTTATGAACACATATTAGTAGTAGGTTGGTAGACAGCAACCACCCAGGGAAGTACTACCGTCCTGCCAGATGACTGTGAAACAGAAACCTGTAACTGTTTTGCATGATGGTAGGATTGCTGGTTTCTTTTTCTGTCTCATAAACACGCTAGATAACAGGGATATCTTGCTACTCCTACTTACACTTTGGTCACACTTCACAGACACGCACATGCATATATATATATACATACATCTAGGTTTTTCTCCTTTTTCTAAATAGCTCTTGTTCTTCTTTATTTCTTCTATTGTCCATGGGGAAGTGGAAAAGAATCTTTCCTCCGTAAGCCATGCGTGTCGTATGAAGCGACTAAAATGCCGGGAGCAATGGGCTAGTAACCCCTTCTCCTGTAGACATTAACTAAAAAAGAGAAGAAGAAAAACTTTATAAAACTGGGATGCTTAAATGTGCGTGGATGTAGTGCGGATGACAAGAAACAGACGATTGCTGATGTTATGAATGAAAAGAAGTTGGATGTCCTGGTCCTAAGCGAAACAAAGCTGAAGGGGGTAGGGGAGTTTCAGTGGGGGGAAATAAATGGGATTAAATCTGGAGTATCTGAGAGAGTTAGAGCAAAGGAAGGGGTAGCAGTAATGTTAAATGATCAGTTATGGAAGGAGAAAAGAGAATATGAATGTGTAAATTCAAGAATTACGTGGATTAAAGTAAAGGTTGGATGCGAGAAGTGGGTCATAATAAGCGTGTATGCACCTGGAGAAGAGAGGAATGCAGAGGAGAGAGAGAGATTTTGGGAGATGTTAAGTGAATGTATAGGAGCCTTTGAACCAAGTGAGAGAGTAATTGTGGTAGGGGACCTGAATGCTAAAGTAGGAGAAACTTTTAGAGAGGGTGTGGTAGGTAAGTTTGGGGTGCCAGGTGTAAATGATAATGGGAGCCTTTGATTGAACTTTGTATAGAAAGGGGTTTAGTTATAGGTAATACATATTTTAAGAAAAAGAGGATAAATAAGTATACAAGATATGATGCAGGGCGAAATGACAGTAGTTTGTTGGATTATGTATTGGTAGATAAAAGACTGTTGAGTAGACTTCAGGATGTACATGTTTATAGAGGGGCCACAGATATATCAGATCACTTTCTAGTTGTAGCTACACTGAGAGTAAAAGGTAGATGGGATACAAGGAGAATAGAAGCATCAGGGAAGAGAGAGGTGAAGGTTTATAAACTAAAAGAGGAGGCAGTTAGGGTAAGATATAAACAGCTATTGGAGGATAGATGGGCTAATGAGAGCATAGGCAATGGGGTCGAAGAGGTATGGGGTAGGTTTAAAAATGTAGTGTTAGAGTGTTCAGCAGAAGTTTGTGGTTACAGGAAAGTGGGTGCGGGAGGGAAGAGGAGCGACTGGTGGAATGATGATGTAAAGAGAGTAGTAAAGGAGAAAAAGTTAGCATATGAGAAGTTTTTACAAAGTAGAAGTGATGCAAGGAGGGAAGAGTATATGGAGAAAAAGAGAGAGGTTAAGAGAGTGGTGAAGCAATGTAAAAAGAGAGCAAATGAGAGAGTGGGTGAGATGTTATCAACAAATTTTGTTGAAAATAAGAAAAAGTTTTGGAGTGAGATTAACAAGTTAAGAAAGCCTAGAGAACAAATGGATTTGTCAGTTAAAAATAGGAGAGGAGAGTTATTAAATGGAGAGTTAGAGGTATTGGGAAGATGGAGGGAATATTTTGAGGAACTGTTAAATGTTGATGAAGATAGGGAAGCTGTGATTTCGTGTATAGGACAAGGAGGAATAACATCTTGAAGGAGTGAGGAAGAGCCAGTTGTGAGTGTAGGGGAAGTTCGTGAGGCAGTAGGTAAAATGAAAGGGGGTAAGGCAGCCGGGATTGATGGGATAAAGATAGAAATGTTAAAAGCAGGTGGGGATATAGTTTTGGAGTGGTTGGTGCAATTATTTAATAAATGTATGGAAGAGGGTAAGGTACCTAGGGATTGGCAGAGAGCATGCATAGTTCCTTTGTATAAAGGCAAAGGGGATAAAAGAGAGTGCAAAAATTATAGGGGGATAAGTCTGCTGAGTATACCTGGTAAAGTGTATGGTAGAGTTATTATTGAAAGAATTAAGAGTAAGACGGAGAATAGGATAGCAGATGAACAAGGCGGCTTTAGGAAAGGTAGGGGGTGTGTGGACCAGGTGTTTACAGTGAAACATATAAGTGAACAGTATTTAGATAAGGCTAAAGAGGTCTTTGTGGCATTTATGGATTTGGAAAAGGCATATGACAGGGTGGACAGGGGGGCAATGTGGCAGATGTTGCAAGTGTATGGTGTAGGAGGTAGGTTACTGAAAGCAGTGAAGAGTTTTTACGAGGATAGCGAGGCTCAAGTTAGAGTATGTAGGAAAGAGGGAAATTATTTTCCAGTAAAAGTAGGCCTTAGACAAGGGTGTGTGATGTCACCGTGGTTGTTTAATATATTTATAGATGGGGTTGTAAGAGAAGTAAATGCGAGGGTCTTGGCAAGAGGCGTGGAGTTAAAAGATAAAGAATCACACACAAAGTGGGAGTTGTTACAGTTGCTCTTTGCTGATGACACTGTGCTCTTGGGAGATTCTGAAGAGAAGTTGCAGAGATTGGTGGATGAATTTGGTAGGGTGTGCAAAAGAAGAAAATTAAAGGTGAATACAGGAAAGAGTAAGGTTATGAGGATAACAAAAAGATTAGGTGATGAAAGATTGAATATCAGATTGGAGGGAGAGAGTATGGAGGAGGTGAATGTATTCAGATATTTGGGAGTGGACGTGTCAGCAGATGGGTCTATGAAAGATGAGGTGAATCATAGAATTGATGAGGGGAAAAGAGTGAGTGGTGCACTTAGGAGTCTGTGGAGACAAAGAACTTTGTCCTTGGAGGCAAAGAGGGGAATGTATGAGAGTATAGCTTTACCAACGCTCTTATATGGGAGTGAAGCATGGGTGATGAATGTTGCAGCGAGGAGAAGGCTGGAGGCAGTGGAGATGTCATGTCTGAGGGCAATGTGTGGTGTGAACATAATGCAGAGAATTCGTAGTTTGGAAGTTAGGAAGAGGTGCGGGATTACCAAAACTGTTGTCCAGAGGGCTGAGGAAGGGTTGTTGAGGTGGTTCGGACATGTAGAGAGAATGGAGCGAAACAGAATGATTCAAGAGTGTATCAGTCTGTAGTGGAAGGAAGGCGGGGTAGGGGTCGGCCTAGGAAAGGTTGGAGAGAGGGGGTAAAGGAGGTTTTGTGTGCGAGGGGCTTGGACTTCCAGCAGGCATGCATGAGCGTGTTTGATAGGAGTGAATGGAGACAAATGGTTTTTAATACTTGACATGCTGTTGGAGTGTGAGCAAAGTAACATTTATGAAGGGGTTCAGGGAAACCGGCAGGCTGGACTTGAGTCCTGGAGATGGGAAGTACAGTGCCTGCACTCTGAAGGAGGGGTGTTAATGTTGCAGTTTAAAAACTGTAGTGTAAAGCACCCTTCTGGCAAGACAGTGATGGAGTGAATGATGGTGAAAGTTTTTCTTTTTCGGGGCACCCTGACTTGGTGGGAATCGGCCAGTGTGATAATAAAAATAAAAAAATAAAATATTAGACCGCCCAACTGGGCATGTATTGGATGAGTGACGTAATTTGTGTACTCTGGAATATCAGCAAAAATCGAACATTTGCGCTACTTTGAGCT